GGACATGGTGATCGAATAGAATAGAAAAATACTTTATTTATCCCAGTCTGGGAAATTACTGTGATACAGCAGCAGCAAGAAAAAACAGCAATCACAACAGAAAAGGGATAAAGTTAAACAATATTTTAAAAAAATACAAATAAAGTGAAATAAAAATAAAATAAATAAATAAAATAACTGTACAAATGTGCAAATTGAACAAACAGTGCAAAGACAGAGGGTTTGACAGAGCAGAGGGCTGAGAACGCTCTGTGCCAGACACAGGCCAGGTGTTGTTCAGGGTTACTGCTCTGGGCAGGACGGACTTCCGGTACCGGTCCTTGTACAGCGGAGCTGAATCAGTCTGTTTGAGAAGGAGCTCCGCTGCCTGTCCAGAAGGGGGTGGAGAGGGTGGTCGGGCTGATCCACAATAGATACCAGCTTGTTCAGAGTCCTCCTCTCCACCACCGCCGGTACCGGAGCCAGCCTTCCTGATCAGTCTGTTCAGTCTGCTGGTGTCGCCGGCTCTGATGCTGCCTCCCCAGCAGACTACAGCAGAGAACACTGGCAACAACAGACTGATAGAAAATGTTCCACATGTTGCTGCACACGCTGAAGGATCTCAGCTTCCTCAGGAAGTAGAGTCTGCTCATCCCCTCCTTGTATAGAGACGATGAATGAATGATTACAGGTGATGATGAACATAACCGGGTTGTTGGAGGTGGAGAGGCAGGTACAGAGCTTGGATTAGCAAAGATGATTGATGAGCACGCCCCGCTGCAGGTGAAGACACTCAGGTAATCTGCTGAATCACCTGCCAGAGCACGCCCACCTGGGGGGAGGAGAAAGAAGAGGGGGGGAACCGAACTGCCACTAGGCAGAGCCAGAGGTGGAGGGCGTGACGTACCGAGTCAAGTTGCCGCTTGGAGTCATTGGGACACTTTGGGGTGACTTGGACCGTGTTTGTCAGCTACTGTGAACAACTTGGAGCAGCATGTTGTCGTGTCTTCAGCCTGCAGGTGGCGCCGATCAGTTCATGTTCATGAAGGCATGATGTGTCTCTGCAGGAGGAACGTCCACCTTCAGTCCTGGCGCGCCGTTCTCGGGCTTCACTCTCAGAGCGACATCAACTCGAAGCACGTTCAGACCCGACAAGTCGATCGCGTGATCATCCACCAACAGTACGACAGGATGAGCAAGCAGGCCGACATCGCCATGATGCACCTGCAGCAGCCAATCAGCTTCACCGGTCAGTAACAGCACCGACAACATCAGAAACACTCACCTGCAGCCACACCTGAGAGGAAACACCTGCCTGTGTGTCACAGTGGGTCCAGCAGCTGTGTTTACCTGTGTGTGTGTGTGTGTGTGTGTGTGTGTGTCAGAGTGGGTCCAGCCGGTGTGTTTAGCAGCTGCAGCTCAGCGTTTCCCGGCAGGAACAGAATGTTTCATCGCTGGTTGGGGAAGAGAAGCTGAAGAAGGTGAAACACACACACACACTGTGAAGTCCTCAGATTTCCTACTTTCTGATGATCCCTGAACTCCTCATGTGTGACAAACAGTACAGTCTGTAGAACCTCAACTTTCCTCCTCCTGGTTCTGACCTTGTCGAACCACAACCTTACTCTTCCTGGTTCTGACCCTGTAAAACTAGAACCTTCTTCCTCCTGGTTCTGGTCCTGTAGAACCAGAACCTTCCTCTTCTTGGTTCTGACCCTGTAGAACCAGAACCTTCCTCATCCTGGTTCTGATCCAGTAGAACCAGAAATTCCTCCTCCTGGTTCTGATCCTGTAGAAACAGAACCTTCTCAGAGAGACTGAGAGGAGAATCCAACCTGCTGGATCAATGAATGAATGCAGCATGGATCAGAACCAGAGAACAGAGGAGCCAGTTGGTGGAGATACATTCAGCTGATGGTGGAACATCTTTCTACTGATGGTGGAACATTGACATTCTCTCCCTCAGGTTCTTCCCCTGATGTTCTCCAGGAGGCCGAGGTTCCTCTGGTGGCTCAGGATCAGTGTCAGCATCAGTTACCTGAGTACACCATCACCTCCAGCATGCTGTGTGCCGGATACCCCGAAGGAGGGGTCGACTCCTGTCAGGTGAGCTCACCTGGACTCTCCAGTTCTCCATACGTCAACCACAGACATGAAGCAAAGTGACTGTAACGGAGTTTTTACATTACTCACCTGAGACAGCAGGTGTGACACTTGTGATCTGATTGGTCATTGAGGTTTGCTCATTTTGAATAAAGTCTGAGTGACTGTGGACCGACCGTGGCTTGTTCTGGACAATGTTGAGTCAGTTTGGACTTTATTTTTTCCGTCAGCTGCAGGTTAATAAAGTTTCTCTTGTTCCGTCTCTGAGTTCTTATGCGTAAAGTTGTCGTGTTGTTTGAACCTGCAGGGCGACTCTGGCGGTCCACTGGTGTGTCTGGATGATGGACACTGGACTCTGATTGGTCAGTCACACACACACACACTCAACGATACATCAGGAAACACGAGCTAGGTCTGAGGACATTCTGCACTCTGATTGGTTCCGACAGGTGTGACCTCATTCGGGATTGGCTGTGGGCGTCCACAGAGACCTGGGGTCTACGCCCGAGTCTCCGCCTTCGCCTCTTGGATTGCCCAGACCAGACGTTCCTCCTCCTCCTCCTCTTCATCCCCGCTCTCCTCAAACTTCAAACTCTCACTGTAAACTTTTTCTCTAATTACAAATCAATAATCAAACCATCAAACGTTGAACTCACAGCATCCAAACCACTTTCAAACCAGAACATGCCAGTCACGTGTCAAAAACAATTTAAACGTCTGAAATACTGAATAAAACATTCAGAAAATATCAGATTTTGATTATTGTCTTCTTTAACATCAGCAACCAGGTGATGAGATGAAGACTTGAATAAACTTTGTTGGTACAGATTCAGAACAAGGAAAAGAAATCAAGCTCAGAAAACAGAGACAAACCCAGAGAAGATCTGGGTTAGGGTCTGAAGGGTTAGAAGGTGTGATGGACTGATTCCTTGTTCTAATCATCAATAAATCTGGAAACAGATGCGTTTGTAATCATAGTCCATAAAAAACAACCAGTTCAGAACCTGAGATAAGGACAGAACGACTGTCACAGACAGAAGACATCATCCATCACTTCCTCCGTAAGAACACCCTCTTAAAATCAGCCTACAGACCACAGAATGAGGGCCAAGACTCAGGATTCAACCGTTTTATTCTCCACATGCTCATACAGTCTGTGAAGCTAAATGTAACGTGACTGTTGTCCGGGCTGAGCAATGGCAAAAAGAAGAAGGACAAAACTAAAGACAATTCATAAATTAAAGCTGCAAGCAGTGTTGGTCGGGTCCTCGGTCCGTATTGCAACCTCATGGCCGTCTGACCTCCATTTTGACAATGTATTCCCCTTCACTAGACTTTGACCGACTCACAGGCAATTTTCATAGTGTTGCTATCTGCTACCACTGTAGAGATATGTAGCTTGAAGTTGAAGGAGCCATTTTTCTCTCTGCTCAGCCTCAGACTGTCAGTGAGTCACATGACGAGTCACATGACCAGCTGCACGGACCTGTGATGATGTCATCGTTCTTCATGCCCCTGGCTGAGAGAGCAGAGAGTGTTACTCACTTTAACTCTCCCATACAGCCACAATTTTCACCAAATATGTGTAAAAACAACATATTTTTGTGGTAAATCTTGCTAGGAAGCCCTCAGTGTCATTTTTAAAGCTGTAGGACCTTTAGTTTTTTGTGTAGATGACCAAATGTCACAGCATGTCGGCACATGTCCCATAGACAGCTCATCAACTTTAACGGCTCGCCATTCGACAACCGTTTGAGAAACGTCAAATCCCTTCAGAACTTTTGTGCATCAAGGCCTTCTCTGTCTCCTGGGCGATTTTTAAGCTGTAGATAATGTTTGGAATTCAAATTACAAAAACATAAATAAAATATATAATAATTAAAGTACTAATTGTTGTTGGTCGTGAGAGTGTAACATCATTATCCATCAGTGTAGAGTTATAACTACACCTCTGACGTTTATAACAAACCAAACCGTTTGAAAATCGGTAGAAAATTGAGCAAGTTCTGGTTGTTTAAAAAGTATGTGCAACACTACAACACAATGCTATGGGTGAGCGAGCTGACTGTACCAAGATGGCCGCCAGTGTGGCCGTGAGATTCCATTGGCCGAGACATCTTGCCTTTATTATACATATCTATGGGGACACTGATACTAAGGGCATTTTATGAGACTTTTCACAAATCTGGCAACTAAATTGTTACCAAACAACTTCTTCACTAATGTGTTTGTACAGGTGTGTAATAACATGCCTTAAATGTTGAAGTTCAGCTCTGGTGGGAAACCCTGAGAAACACCTGCTAAGTTAAGGCACCCATAAATGATTGATGAAAAATGGATTTTACAATTTCTCTGTGATTAATATTTTTAAAACAACAATATGAGCAGACCTGGTGAAAGTCAAAGATGAATTTAAAACACTGTCTGAATCAGTCCAGTGTTTGTAAAAACGACATTTCTTCTAAACTGGTATCTTCACCCGCTGACTGAGAGAAAACATGAAATCAGCTGTTGGTAAATGTCTGAACTAATCATGAACAAATGAAATATGTGACTTTGTCTTCTTTTTATGTCCATTATGTAGGATTTATGATCTTTTTTTCTTTCACACAGCTCTATGTGGGAAACCTGTTTAATCACAGATGCTACATGATTCAGTTTAAATGTTGTTTCTCAGGCTCCAGATCATTAATTACAACAAAACCATGTTGATCTGATTATTGAACAGACTAAAATACATCAGTTTTCCTCCCCTGATGTCTGATCACCAACTCACTGGAAATACGCTGTGCAGGGACTCAGGACCACTTTGTGGACTTTAAACTGGACATCGTCCACCTTGGTGACTGCAGCGGAGAACTCTCCATTTAAAAAGCGCTCGTAGAAGTAATGTGAAGGCCAGCTTTGTTCGCTCATGGTGACTTTTGTTGGAAAAGTTTTCACAGTGTTTGAGCTGCTGCTTGGCCTCTGGTTGGCTGAGTTCTGACAGATTTCTGAGCAGAGTCAAGTGTATAAATGTCTCCATGTGGTTCAGGTATATAACAGCTAAGTTCAGCCTGCAGCCAGTTCAATGATGTCTGTGTTTAAAGAGTTAACTTGAGCTTTATTTTCCTGTTCAAACCATCTTTTGATGAAATGTGTACCAACCTGACAGGAGATTCACCACCACAATAAACAACTCAGTGGTTCTACTATTAATCTACCAAACCAAAGAGGACGAGGCTCATGAATTACAATCAACTGCACTTTTATCAGATACATCCATACAATCCAGTATGAAAGAAATCTTCCCCCTTTAAAGGCAAGAGGTGCTAATTTATTAGTTTTATTGGCTTTGTTCATGACTGAGGTGGTAGCCGGTGGGAGGGCTGTGCTGCACCGCATTAAGCTGGAATGTGATTCTGATGTTACATCAACATCAGAAGTGTTTCTAGTCCAGTTTATCACCACAGCAAACTAGAACCTCAATGCTAACCCCTTGAACCTCAGACGGCCCTGCACCATGTATAAAATACAACTTCTGAAGCCTGTAAGTGTGACACATTCATGGAAGAGGCCTCCTGTTGGTGATCTGATTAAACGGATGCAGCGTTTATTTTAGCAGAGTTGTAGTTGAGACATTTCAGCACAGGTTCAGTAACAGCGCCGTGTAGCCGCCCAGCTGAAACCAGAAGTTTACATACACGGTATAAAAAGACTCTCACTGTCTGACATTAAACCAGACTAACCTGTTCCTGCTTCAGGTCAGTTAGGATTACCAACATTATTTCTATGTGCTACACAGTGTGTGTGACCTGAACATGCATGGACACTCTGAAAAGTAACTCCAGGAACCCAGTCCCACCACCAGTTATTTGCATTGTTGCAGGAAAACAAAACTCATGTACTGATTTATATTCAGCATTTAGGGCTGCGAGGTGCCTCCAGTCTGGTCTTTTTCAACAATGGAGTGCAGGTGGTGAAATATAAATGCTAACAGCCAACTCAGAATCATGAACAAACCCTGATTTGATCCTCATGAGTTACTTCAGGCCCGATTTTTAAAAAACCCATTTTTCATCAATCATTTATGGGTGCCTTAACTTGAGCAGGTGTTTCTCAGGGTTTCCCACCAGAGCTGAACTTCAACATTTTAAGGCATGTTATTACACACCTGTACAAACATGTTGGTGAAGAAGTTGTTTGGTAACGATTTAGTTGCCAGATTTTGATATTTTTTCCTGACTATGACCCGCTCCACCGGTTCGAACATGGGCTTGCTGTTCCACCTGCTGCCGGTGGCGGCGCTGAGCGACCTGCGCACAGAAGAAGAAGCAGAAGAAGAAGCAGCAGCAGCAGCAGCAGCAGCGCGTCATCTCAGGAAGTGCCGTCAGAGGCGTCGGTGTTTTCAGGTGAGACCCGAACCCGAACCCTAACTGCCGTTTTTAAGGTTTTCATCGTTTCACCTCCGTGTCCGTGACACCGCTGACGTCACGCTGAGCTGTGATGAACGAGGTGGCTGACGTCATGGCGACGGTCCGCAGCTGACCGTTAGCTTAGCAGGTAGCAGCTAGTTAGCATATAGCTCCGTTCACCTGCAGCTTCATTTACTACAACTAGCACAGTTGTTTGCTGTTTGTTGTGGTCAACTGTACGTTCAAAAGTCCGTTGAGAAAACAGCAGACTTTAGTGTTCAGGAGGTTTTACTGTAACACACCGGCAGCACCAGTCAATACGGATCGATAAGTAAATCAGAATAATACGAACTGATCGAGCTGCTGCTTTTCTGAAAGTCCAGTTTGGTTTGAAAGTCTTTGATGTGAAGCTTCGCTGTTCCAGCTGATCAAAGGTGAGCACTGGTTGTTTCAGTCTTCTGATGGTTCGCGTTTTTCTGCGGTATCGATCACAGTCGGAACCATGAAGCAGGTCGAGCAGCAGTGTTCTCAGTCATTTCAGTAGGCAGCGTTGAAGACGACACTACTGATCAGCTGATTGTGAAAGTGATCAGATGAATTGGGAGCAGCCCTCATTAAAGCAGCTGCTGTCTGCAGACAATCACGGATTGAAGTAACTAAAAACAGACAGATTCTCTATGGACTTCTGAACTGTCTTGTTCTGTGGTTTCTCAGTGGGTCCTGAGTCTTCGTCGGGATGGACCTCAGACATGATGATCTCCTCAGTGAGAATCTGAACCTGACCGTACCTGTTTCAGTTCTGACTCTAGTTTTAATTCAGATTTGCTATTGGGCTCTGCAGTAAAGACGATGTTCAGGTTTTTCTGAGATGTGTTGCTGTTGTTATTCTACTGCACTGAAGTCCTTCAAGTAATGCATCTTCTGACTTTGTCACATAAAACCAGCAGCTGAACAGCTGGACCTGGACTCGTGCTGTTCACAGAACCAGCGCAGAATCAGGAACCGTGTGATTTGGATCAGTGTGCTGAACTGTGTTTTGTGCTGCAGAGCTTCAGGATGAGCAGCCGAGGAGACGAGCGCAGACGGAGCGGCTCAAAACCTCGACAGCAGCCCAGAGATGAGGAGGAAGACGACTTCTACGACTGCCAGGAGACTCTGGAGCCTCCTGATGCCACAGAGGGGGGCGGAGTCAAAGGCAAAGAGAACCCCACACAGTATGATAACATAGAGGGAGGACGACCACAGGTTCTGCAGGGCGACAGGCTGCAGGGCGACAGGCTGCAGGACGAGCTGCAGGGCGACAGGCTGCAGGGCGACAGGCTGCAGGACGAGCTGCAGGGCGACAGGCTGCAGGGCGAGCTGCAGGGCGACAGGCTGCAGGGCGAGCTGCAGGGTGACGAGCTGCAGGGCGACAGGCTGCAGGGCGACAGGCTGCAGGGCGACGAGCTGCAGGGCGACAGGCTGCAGGACGAGCTGCAGGGTGACGAGCTGCAGGGCGAGCTGCAGGGCGACGAGCTGCAGGGCGACAGGCTGCAGGGCGACAGGCTGCAGGGCGACAGGCTGCAGGACGAGCTGCAGGGCAACAGGCTGCAGGGCGACAGGCTGCAGGACGAGCTGCAGGGCGACAGGCTGCAGGACGAGCTGCAGGG